AGGCAGGACAACTGAAGATGAAGTAGGTCTTGGGGTCCTGGGGCTCTAAGCACAGGGGCTGGTCCGAGGGCTCTGCATTCAGAGGATGCTCTGGGAGGATAGTTGAAGTTCAAGTAGGTACAAGCCAGGGTGTCCTAGGGTAGTCAGCACAGGGGGCACTATGGCAGGGTAGCTGGGTGCGAGACAGGGTACAGGTCTCAGTGCATCCGAGGGGTGCCCTGGCAGGGCTGGTATAGCCAAAGTGGTAGGAGCCTAGAGTGTTCCAGTGGGCTTTGCACCCATCTCCTCTTGGTGTGATGGCTAAAGCTGTAGTGAGCATTGATCGGTGGGGGGTGGCGAGGGGGTCCCACTGTGCATGGTGCTGGGGCCACCTTGGTGGGAGGGCGGGGGATGGTGTGGGCTAGGGGCCCAGGGCTCCCTGAGGCAGCAGGCCAGCTAGGGTACCCATAGCCTCCTCCCATCAGGGTGAAGGGGTACATCAACTGTGGCACTTACCAACCCCTCCGACCAGGAGAGAGTTCCAGCAGCTCCCCCACCTTTTGGCAGGTTCAAGGGTTGGTCCCTTTACATTCTAGTTGCCCTTATAACCATCAGCATTTTTTCTGTGCCCATAGACAGATCTGCTCACAGTCCCTCAGTACTGTCCCTCTCTGCCACAGTTGGTAGTATTAAGGGTGGGGTTCCCCTCATTCCCGTGTCTTCATCTCTCTTGCCATTCTTTGTGTGGTCTCTCCCGCTGTTGTTGTACCGAAGCTGTTCAGTCAGCCCTTAGTTCTGCATGAGGATTTGCTCTAACAGTAGGTGTGGAAAGGGGGTGTCCTGGAGGAGGTGAGTTTAGGGTCTTCTGATGTCGCCATATTGCCCCAGAACCAACCTTACTCTCTGGTCCTTTATAGAGGAAGTGTGCCAAACTCAGATTCAGATGAATAGTAGTTAAGAGGACAGCATTGAATGTCACCAAGTTCCAGCTCTGCCACTTACAGGCATTGTGGGCTTAGACAAGTCTACTCAACTATTCAGTTTCTTCTTAAGTAGAAAAGAATTGAATAGAATCCTATTTAAGTCCCTTAGCATGGGACCTGGCACAGAAGAGAGCACAAACCCCAAGTACCTGTTCTAAAGATGTAGGTATGCAACAAGAGGTGTGTATAACAGACTGCTTTTTAAATTATCAACATAAGATCTGCAACGATATCCATTCCGCGAGGTTTCTGTACTTCTAAAAGCTCCCTCAGAAAGGTGATTACTTCAAAAAACGAATACTCAATTTGGCTTCATAGCTTTCTATGAAGATACAAACACCTCAAGGAGGGAGTTTTTCTCATCTTTTCATCCCACATGCATCTGGTACAGTGCCGGCTCACAGAATGGGAAGGGTTGTGTCTTTAGTGAACTCAGTTTCCCTTCTCAAATATGTCTGGGATTCCAAAGTTTGGTGGATTGAAACAGAAACATTTGGGGATGTTATCGGGTGTTAGAAACAGTACCCTCTCTCGTTTGGTAGCAGGTATGCTCCTGTTCCCTATCCAAGGACATTTTCCTTTGTGCTTTGCTGTTCCTTCAAAAACAAATCCTTCCCTTCCCTAAACAGTGTTTTCATTTTTACCTTTTTATTGGCCACTCGCCTGCCACTAATTTACAAATGCCGGAGACTGTGTCCCTCACTCTTCCTGAGAAAACTATAGAAGGAACTTTGTGTGTGGCCAACTTGGTTTCCAGTAGCAATGCACTAGTCTTTAACCACAAGATCTACCTGAAGAGGGTCACGAAGCATCGGGCTTACACCTAAACACACATTTGCCTCACGCCCCTAGCACAGACTCTTCATTTTTCTCAAGAGTTCTGTGAGAACCGACAAATAGGAAATGACACCCCACACGTAGCACCTCCTTTAGGCCAGCAGGTTTTCATGATGTGCTTGGGCACAAGACAATGGGATAAATACAGCACTGCCTGCCCCACAGAGCAAGACTCAAGCTACTCACTGCAGCACCCACGCACACCACACCTGGGTCTGATCTCTCTACATCACAAGACTTTTTTCTGTGATAGATATTTAGGGTACTTTTTTTTTCCTCTTTGCCACATCCTCCTAATCTCTTCCCCGCTCGCCTTCATCCAGGAAATTTCCCAGATTCCCCGTCACTGTGAGCATTTTCCTTCCAGCACGTGTGTGTGCACGGCGAAGGTCTGAAACTGTGGACATTTTTATTTTTTTTTTTTTACTATTAATCTCCCCCAACATGCACATAACACACACAGGCAACTTAGCCACGGAGAAAGAAAAAAAAAAAAAGACTTATTCACAAAGCAAACACAGCTGTCATTTCATACAAAGCCCTTGTAAGATGAGCTACAACTAAAAAAATTCTAGGCCAACTCTGCAGTGATGTTTTTATAACAAACATGTTTATAGTATTATGAATTTCACACTTCCACATTTCTGCACTTACAAGGTCTTAATCATAATGAATGCCATTTCTGTAGTTCTCTTCGGGAAGAGAAATTACCATTTCCACATGGACGTGAATTGCAGAATTGTTCCTAGAGGCTGTGGAATTCTGTGCCTGCTAGGATGGCTATAATGATGTCTTTGTAGTTTGTGTTTATTCAAATCATATAATGTATGCTTAAAAATCTAACACACTGCAAGTGCTCTTCGCTGAACTCAGGTCTAGTTCTGATATTCTTTAGGGTTTAAGTAAAAAGAGCCCTTTCTTCCTCAAGTCGGGTAAACATAAAAATCAAAGGGAACTTCCTTCACAAACCAGAAAGATGGGGTTTCTTTCTGGAATGAGAAGCTGCTCCCACCCCAACAATCTATTAGTCCTGGTTTTAAATATTCTGTTACTGCTGTGGAATTAATAAATTAATAGCACATTGAGAAAGATGCAACACTGTAATCATGGTACTTGCATGGTGCTTTCATTATGATGCTGGCCTTCTTATTGGCTGACAAAAGTTTCAATTCTGGTCACTGAAGTAAAAAATTCAAACATTACCTTTGTTAACTGTGCAAGTGGGAATAATCCATTTGTCTTCATGGCTCTTTCTTCCCTCCTTCTGGCAGGGTTAGATATAAGCTTATGGGGGTAATCCCCAGTTTGCAGTAAGGCTGCTTTGAAAAGTCTTCAAGTTGGCAATCTAAAATTCATGATGTGTTTTGTTAGAAGTCATAGTCAGGCCCTCAGCTGAGTTTTCAAAAATTGTTTTATCCCAACCAATAGATAACAAGAATGCTGATAGAAAAAATGGAAGCTGTGGATCCTGAGAGGGTCTTGTCAGACGGAAGTGGAGGAGAAGGTTATATAGCATGACCGCCATCTTTCTTAGGATGGAACTCACCAGAAAAGATGGAAATATACATAGATGATGGGGCCTCATAGGCTAAAATGTATATAGATGCTCAGTACTTGATAGATGTGGTGTTTCGATGTTCTTAAGTAACATTAATTTCAGGATTACAGTAATACATTTATTAGGATCTATTATAAATAGGTTTTTAAAACAGCTCTATTGAACTGTAACTCACATAACCATGTAATTCACCTATTTAAAGCACACATTTCAGTGCTTTTTGATCCATTTTTAAGTTATGGTAAAATATGTAACAAAATTTGTCAGTTTAACCATTTTAAAGCATGCAGTTCGGGGACATTAATTGCATTCACAGTGCTGTGCAGCCGTCGTCGCTATTCCTGAAACTTTTTCATCACCCCGAACAGAAATTCTGTAACCATTGAGCAGTAGCTCCTCATTTCCCCCTGCCCCCACCTCTAAATAACCTCTAATCTACTTTGTCACCGTTAATTTGCCTGCGCTAGGAACCTCATATAAGTGCAGTCAAAATATTTGTTCTCTTGTCTGGCTTCTTTTACTCGGCATCACGTTTTCAAGGTTCATGCATGTTATGGCAACTTTTCTATGGCTGAATCCTGTTCCTTTGTGTGTCTCCTACTTCTTGTTTATCCCTTCCTCTGCTCCTCTCTTGATGGCACTTGGGTCATTTCTGCCTTTTGGCTATTGTGAATACGACAGCAGTGAAATTCATTGTCCAAGTAACTATTAGAGTCCCTTTCAATTCCTTTGGATATATACCTAGGAATACAACTGCGGGTCACATGGTAATACTGTGTTGAGCTTTTGGGGGAGCTACCCAACTGTTTTCCACAGTGGCTACACCATTGTACATTCCCACCAACAGTGCATGAGGGTTCCAGTTTTTCCACATCCTTGCCCACACTGAGGATAGCCATTCTGGTAGATGTGACGTGGCATCTCCTTGTGGTTTGGATTTGCATCTCCCCAGTGATGAAGGATGCTGAGCCTCTCTGCATGGGATTATTGGCCAGCACTAGATCTTCGGAGACCTGTCTATTCAGGTCCCTTGTCCTTTTTTTAATCCGATTGCCTTTTTGTTGCGGAGTTGTAGCTTCTGAATATTAACCTCTTCTCAGATACGTGATTGGCCAGTATTTTCACCCATTCTGTAAGTGGGCTCTTCACTGTCTTGATGTACAAAAGTTTTTTATCTTGGTGCGGTCCAATTTATCCTTTTTTTTTTTCTTTCATTGCCTGTGATTTTGGTGTCTTATTTAAGACCTAATTGCAAAATTATCAACTAAGTTTTTAATATATCCTGGTGAATATCTCATAGTCCTATTTTAAGGCATCTAGGACAGTGTTTGGCATGGAAGAGACCCTGAATAAATCTAAGAAAGTCTAAACCAGTGTTTCTCATCACCATGCATAATGCGTTGGAGACTGCATAAATGTGGCGTGCTCAACAATACCGGCAGTCTAGAAGCTAGACGGAGGGATGGTCCGAGAACATGACAAAGAGGAGCAGTTACACACCGTAGTGTTGGGGAGGGTGATGATAACAGATCTGCCGTGCGGATGTCCTCTCCGTGGCCATCTTTACTGATGAGTAAATGCTTTTGAGCGAAGGTATTAACACGTCAGCTGACAAATCATCCCTCTCCTTCCTTGGCCAACAGGACCCCAGAGAGATGCCCAGGCAGCTCGAGAATTCATCCTGAAGATGTTCGTGGACCTGAATCCAGACAGTGACAAAATTATCTACTCCCACTTCACATGCGCCACAGACACCGAGAACATCCGCTTTGTCTTTGCTGCCGTCAAGGACACCATCCTCCAGTTGAACCTGAAGGAGTACAATCTGGTCTAATTGTGCCTCCTCAACACCGCCATTCCCTTCCCTGGTGGGCTATTGAAGCTGTACAAGAGGGACTGTATTTCTGTGGAAAACAATTTGCATAATACTAATTTATTGCCATCCCGGACTCTGTGTGAATGTGTCCACAGAGTATGTAGTAAATATTATGATTTTATTTAAACTATTCAGAGGAAAAACAGGATGCTGAAGTACAGTCCCAGCACATTTCCTCTCTCTTTTTTTTTTTTAAGGCAAAACCTTGTGACTCAATGTATTTTCAATCCTCAGTCATGCACTCACCAAGAGTAGAGTTGTTTCTTTCTCTCTTTTTCTTTTCTATTGAGCAAAACAAAGTTGATTGCCCTTTTCCTAACCCATACCTGCCCCCCTCCTGAGTTTTGGTTACAGTGGCCTTTAGTCTCATTCCATTCTTGGTCCAGTTTTTCTCCCAAATGATACAGCCAGGACAGCATCATTTGATTTAAGCCATCAACATCAGCTTAATTTCAACGTTTGTCGTTTTGCTGAACGATTCTAAGTATTAATACTGTGGTTTTCACTGTATGGCTCTGGATACACATATAGAGTTGTTTTATATAAGTATATTGTCTTGCCTCACCTTGGGCTAGGATGACAGATGCCCGTCTTACAGTTAAGTGTCATTTCTTTTGGATTTCTGCCTTCAGCCATAGCTTGGTCGCTGAGAGAGATGCACAAGTCAGTAAGGCAAGAACAGAGACACACAGTTATTTAAATGCCATGTGCCATGGTCCTTCCACCCTTTTTTCTTTCACCCTCTTCAAATTGTAGATGCCAAAAAAAATTATATATATATTATATATGTATATATATTATATATATATATATGCCAACAGACACTACATTACCCCAATGGCTGCTACCCAGAACTTTTTTCTTAGGCGGTTTTTAGTTTCTCCCCCTCTTGGTTCAGGTTTTTCTTCCTTTTTTCCCCTTAGTGTTTGGGCCATAATTTATTATGGGTGTGTGTGTGTGTGCGTGTGTGTGTGTGGCCAAAGCTGGCTTTTTGTAAAAGATAAAAGCCAGTATCTTAAAATGGAAGAGAGTAAGACTGTGAATCCTAAAGTAATTGGCTGAGAACGACCCTGAAACACCAAACCGTCGGTAGAACGACCCTGAAACACCAAACCGTCGGTAACTGTAAATTTGATTGGCATGGTCCATTCTTTTCCTTGCCCTGAGATCACATTGTTTAGTGTCCATTCCATGTTGAGTGTCCAAATCGGCAATGTAACAAAGTGTCTTTGTGATAGAACATGAAATCTCTTTCTAACTCTTTACTTAGAGCCAGTTTTACTCTTTCTGTTCTTTAAGGTCAAGTAGGTCTGCCAAGAACATTGGTTGAGTATTCTGACACCTCTAATTTTCAAAATCTGAAGTTCCTACTGGTTTACCACCTTTGGGATCTTTTTAAACTGGTCACTGGTTAAGCTGAACCTAAGGAAGACTTGTAGACTTAAGAGTAACCTGTCAGTGTTCTATAGAACATGTATTTATGTAACTGAACCTACTAGGAGAGATATTTGGAGTTCTTTAGTGCAATTTCTCAACAAATGCAAAAAAAAAAAAAAACAGCACATGTATTGATGAGCTTGAGTTGAAATATGATTTAAGAAAATAAAGCAAGATTATTTTAAACCTGCAGGAATTAGGCCACAACACTGGTCTTACTTTAAGTATCCTACTATTTGGCCCAAGTCTAAACTTCCCTACCAATCACCCTTTGGGAACAAAAGGGAAGAGAGAAAATGAATGGGTTATTAGAGGAGTCCAAGAGTTCCTAAGCAGTGATGGAAGGTTCTCCTGCTTTACTTTCCCCAGCCACAGACAACACAGGTTACTTTTTCACTTTGCTCAGAAAGCACCTGTAATTTAATTAAGAACCAGACTGCCTGTAGGTATAGTGCAATTCTGAATGCTCTAATCATTGTACATACATCTGTTGATCCTGCAGCATCCATACTGGCTTTGTAATCATTAATGTTTTGGCAGATTGAATGTGCTGTATTGATATGTATCTATGTATTTGTATGTCTTATAGCTAATTCACATTTTGAATAATGTTATTTTATTTACTTTTTTAAGAGAGGAGAATGTAAATTTGTCAGTTTATTTCTGACTAGGGATATTTTTTTTTCCATTTAGAAAAGAAAAAAAAATCTTACTCTCGTACAGAGCGGTACTAGCATCGTGCTGTATAAAATCATTTGCACATTCCGGAGTAGAGGTATACTGATCAGACCCAAAGGTAATTTCATAGCAAAATACATAACATCAGTTGGAGCTTTTATACAAACATGGAAACCAACTTTGTAGAACTTTTGCCATTTGACCTAGGATTGGAATATGAGCTTTTATACAATTCATATTCTTATTTGGCAAATGCACAGTTTAGTATTACCTCTCTGATGGCCTTTATTAGAAAGGCAGTTTTAGAAGCTATTGTGATCCACTAAGGAAATGTTTTAACAGCTAGAGACCACTGCTTGCCTGAAAGGGCAATCTTAAATTTGGTGCAGCAAAAAAAAAAAAAAAAAGAAAAAAGAAAAAAGAAAAAAAAAAGAAAACAAAAGAAAAAAGAAAAAAACAAGAAAAAAGATAAGAAAAAAGTCAACAATAACATTTGAAGGCCTACAGTGTGTATAGAGAAAACCTCATCACAAGATCATAAGTGTTACAGTTTTAGGGAATCAAGATATTCTATTTAATAGAGCTCTAGTAGATGTAGTCGATTAAACATGATCTCAAAGCTCGAAGAAGTTGAGCAAACAGGGAAAGATTGTTCTATTTGTCTTTATGAAATTGGGATGGAATTGCTATGCAGAATTGAGGTTTGTGGCTTCACTGTTTGCCGTAGGGTGCATGACAAGATCCCTTTCTGTTGAGAAAGGAAGAAATTGATCACCCTAGCTGCAGTGACGCATGGAAACCTAATTGTATCCACACTAGTCAATCGAAGCTAAACGATTTTCTTTTCTGTCTCTTTGTTTGGGGTTTTATTGAAGGGGCTAGGGGTGGGAAGGGGTTCTTTTCAGTTTTGTATAAAAACGAAGTTTACTCATGCTTTCTATTATATTGTGATTGCAAGCGTTAGAAGCGTGTGCCACTGGACTCCTGCCATTGATGCTCCAAGTAATGGAGCCCATGGCGAGTTTTTGGTGACTTGGGCATGTCTTATTCAAAAAGAAAAACACAAACAAAAACCTTTCTTCAGCATACCAAGGCAAGCAGCCATTTCATGACTCACTTAACACATTGCAGTGGACCAGTTTACAGATAATTTTCCCTCTTTTGCGTGACATGGCCGTTCTGAACCCACAGAGAATGCCTCATTTGTAAATTGGAGGGTTGTACTATGCCTTACAGAGCTTAAATTCAGAAGTTTGTGCCTCACATCTGAAACAAAGGGAAATAACACACCTATTCAAAAGTCAATAAATCCCCTCAAAGTTTTTGGGTTTTTTTTTTTTTAAAGAAAACATTTTCATATAAAGAGCTCTGCTGAATGTCATAAATAGACTGGGGAAAAAAATCTTAGGAACCTGCATATGTTGTTTACTAGCATATGACACCTACAAAAGGTATTTGAAGAACACCTGAAACTTGTATTTGTGTGTGTGTGTGTGTGTGTGTGTGTGTGTGTGTGTGTGTGTGTGTGTGGATTAACTAGCAAGCCTACTATTAAAAAAAAAAAGGTAATTCAGCTAAAGGACAATTTACTTTTTGTACTTTAGACTATCTTGACTGTCAAGGTGTATGAACTGTAATTTTAAAATTTATACTGCCACATGATTGTAAATTTTAGTTGTCTTAAGTTAGGAATTGGTAACAAGCTATTTATGCTGGATTTGGGTCAAATGACTTATTTGCAAAAAAAAAAATAATGGGAAGAAAGGGCTGTATAATGAGATACTGCAAGACTCAGATACTGGTTGGAAATAACCTTCAAAATTACCTTCAATTTCCCTTTGTTTTCAGTTTCTCAAAAAAAAAAAAACGAATGAAATGAAATATAGAAGAATGTTAACCCATATCAAAATAAAGTGTACCCAACTATTGTAATGTATATTGCTGCTCTTCTTAAAATTAAATAAGGGTTTAAAACCACTTAATTGGTAATGACAACATCTCAATTGATACAAACAAGGTGTGCTTGGTATACATTACTATTTTTCTTCCAAAGATCTATCTTTGGTTAGAAACACATACAAAAATTAAAACTTGTAATAGTGTGTGTTTATCTATCTCCACATATTTCCAGCATATGTAGCGTTAATAGGTCTGTCCTGGTAACTATGTGTTTGGGATTTCATTTTGGTTCCACCAAATTAGGAAAAGAAATGGCTTAGTTGTGTATGACTAGTTAGAGATTTTTGGAGCCAGACACCTGCTGTTTAGTAGAAACCTAGTAGAGAGTCTAAACTTGTCGTTTGTTTTTCCTCACAGAGTAACCACCCATTCATTGCTGTCTTCCCAATTTCCAATGACTTTTTTTTATATATATATAAGTACATCCCAAATATTTCATGGGATATATTCTTTTTTTATTTAAATTCAGTTAGCCAACGTATAGTAGTACATCATTAGTTTCAGATGTAGTAGTGTTCAGTAATTTATCAGTTGCGTGTAACACCCAGTGCTCATCACATCAATAATACTCTTGCCTCTAGAATCATCTGTTCAAAAGTATGCAAACACACCTAGCACACAGTAGGTGCTCAAATATTTTCCTTCTTACCTCCCTATTGATCATGTATCTTCCATTTCCCTATATGATTCCAACCCAATAGTAAATGACATTTACATGTTATGAAAACACCTATTGGGCCAAAGTGGATCTTAACTTGGATAAAGCAGTTCTGACTTTCGTATAAGCTTTGGTAGATAGAAAAAAACACCAGGGAGGAAAATATTCTTCCTAGAGTATTTTCAAGTTTAGGAAGAGAGATGACAAAGTGCTGTATAACGTTCAGGTTACTTGGACTGAAACATGTGTTTTTGGTAGATTTCTTTTCCTCAGAGAACTCTAAATACAACTTTTGTTGGATTCCTCACCTGTCATCATGTTGAAAACCCTTACT